TTTTTTTTTAAAGGTAAAAATTTCATAGTGAAATTTTCCTACTTAATTTAGTCCGGACTTTGCATCTCGAAACTACATTTGAGACTGGATATAATTGTTTTGAATTTATTGTTGTTATTACCTTTCCCTACTTCCCTTTTTCCATTTCCGGAACTTAAGGTGGTTGCTGGCAACGACATGAGCTAAAATAAATAAACAGCTTACTTGAAAGAATTCATATAAACATACCGACGAACCAGCACCACCTTCATCAGTGTTTTATTATTGCATGCACACATTACCCAGTGACTCAAAGTAGAAGGAAAAATAATAGAAAGTGAAGACAAATTTAATTTACCAGTGATGGTTAATTAAGATTTTAAAATTTAATTTGTTCACCTACAACGGCACGCCAAAGATATTTTACGGCCCACTTTCAAACAGATTATAAACTTAAAGTTTCATAGCTCCATAATGTTTCATTTCTGCTCAGTGAAATATCTTAGCGTATACCGAGGCTTGGAAAAATCAGAACTTGTGTAAAGTTTTAACTTTGCAATTTTAATTTCTTTTGGTATTTTTCTTATAAAAATACCTGGCGCCCTCATCAGACTTGAATTATCGGACATCTAGGCAGATGCTTACATGTATACACAAGTATATGCTTAACAGGACCAAGAAACTCTTTTTATAACTTTTGTCTTATTGCTTTTAAAGTCAATACTACTTATATTACATAACATAAACGTGGTTGACGTTCAAACACGGGAAATGTATATTCACAGCAATTTTATAAAAGGCTGCTTGAAAGTAACGGAAAAAATTGAGGATCTAAAAAAAAATTATTTTTGTCTTATGTGAATTAGATGCAGAGAAATTGTCCAGATTGCTAACTTCAGATTTAAGTCAGCAGTTTGTCATTTTCTCCAAAATGGCTTAAGGTACAAAATTCATTTTAGTGTAAGAAAACAACAAGAAAGTAACAAAATATCTAATACTTTTTTGCAGTATGCTAAAAGTGGCCTGCTTACTTTATATATGTTAGTTGTGTAGATTATTTAATACGCTGAAAATAATCAGAACTATTTTTCAGTATCTCATCTCTTGAAACAAATAAATACAACTCTGCACCGGAGGCAAACTTAATTGAACAGCAGAAGGAAATGATGGATAAAAACCAACTTTCATCTGACCAGCTGACACCCAAAAATCCTTTAAAAATGCACAAGTGTGACATTTGTGGACGTAAATGCAATAAGTGTGATTGTGAAAATAAACATGAGGGGAATCTGAAGAAATATCAGCTTAAACTCAAATACTCCCCAAAATCGGTATTGTACAAGTGTGACTCGTGTAAATACGAAACCAAAAAGAAGCAGTATTTTACCCGCCACCAGCTGGTACACAAAAATCCTTTGAAAGCACATATGTACATGTGTGATTTTATTTCCAATTATAAATCCACTTTTAAACGTCATCGGTTGACACATCCAACCCACATGGAAGTACACAAGTGTGTGTGATTTTAAAACGAAGTATAAGTACAATCTTAGGCAGCACCGCTTGATTCACGGAGACCCTTCAAAAGTGGGAAAGTACAAATGTAATTCTTGTGAATTTACAATCGATACTAAGTACAAACTTGTGTCCCACCAACTGGAACATAGAGCTCCCTCAAAACTGACATTGTACATATGTGATTCGTGTGATTTTATGACCAGTTTTAAAAGCAGACTTACAAATCACAAGTTGAAACATGAGGGCCCTTCGGAACTACCGATGTCCGAGTGTCATTTGTGCAATTTTAAAACGAAATATAAGAACAATCTGAAGTCCCACCTGCTGAGGCACAAGGGCCTTTAAAAGATATAAGTGTGGTGTGTGTTATAACACTATATTAAAGCTATATAGTAATGCTAAGGAAGTAAGATTGAAAACACTTACCTGGCAAAGTTTAGAGTTAGTTTCAGTGTCATTATTGACTATTTTTAAAACATCACTACATACGTTTTTAAGATTTAAAGTAAAATTTCTATGACACATGTATCAGCTAGAACCTACCATATATTTTCCAAAATATATTTAGGATTTTTCTCAGCACGCTTGGCATTTTTTCTTTGATTACAATACTATATTGTTGGTGTGTTTCACGTAAGAATGTAACAGCATATTTTTGTTGTTTTTTCTGATTTAAATCAAACTGATCTCAAATGCAGGCCATCTGTGATATTAAGCTGTATGAAAAATAAAAACTTTCTAGTAGGTATTTTATAATAGAAAAAAATTATTAACAAAACTTGTTTGAAGTCATTAAAACATCCTGAATCCTGAAGTTTAGTTAAATTTAAAAAAGAGAGAATAGTAAATAACAGCCACACAAAAAAAATTGTCTACTTTTTATGTGACGCATGGGGGAACATCACGGGAATTTCCTAACCTCAAAAAACAGGTCAAAAATAGCAATAATTCACGAAAAAGTGGTAGGAAAATACAAAAAAATTTTTTTCTATATTCAAATGTTCATTTATAGGTTAAGCCTACGCCGAACGTGAATCCCCGATCAGAATTGATGGTTCTTTTTCTAACCTAATAAAACGGGTCAATTAAGGTCAGATATCACGAATTTTCAAACAATAACATTCGCGCGGGGGTTTTCGGGGATGACGGATCCAAGGTCAATTTTGCAAAATTCAAGATGGATCCAAGATGGCCAACCAAAATTTCAAAAAATAACAGGTTCGCGCCAAATTTGATCACGAATCCCAGATCAGATTTACAAAATTCGTTTTTAAGAATTTAATCAATTATGTGATTTAAGAAGGTTAAAATATGATTGGGTACTCAGGTTATGAAGTAAACAGGAATATTACAAAATTAATTTCGTAATTCTGACCTCGAATACGTAATCAGCGACCCCGAAAACCCCCGTATACCATTTGACGCGAATTTTGTATTTTTCCTAGCACTTTCTCGTGAAGTTTTGCTATTTTTGACCTGTTTTTTGAGGTTAGGAAATTCCTGTGATATGGTAGCTCAATTCTGACTCCGGATTCGTGATCAGGAGGTAAAAATACTACGGATAACAGTGTCGCATGAAAAGTACAGACAACTTTTTTTTGTGGCTGTGTAATTGTTTATTGCAGTGGCGTCTTCTGACATTGTGAATAGGTGAGGCCCGTGACCGTTTTGCTAGGTAGGCAAAGAAAAAAAACCATTGCAGGCAAATATTTTTAAATTTTTAAGGTCAAACGACTAAATGAATCTAGAAATTTTTAGTTGCATTTACAATATTATCGAAATTCACAGGAAGGATTTTCATTCAGATTTTTTAAAAAATATAAATATTTATGCAACTATTTGGTTATTTTATTAATCTGCTCTCAAGTAACCATAAATTAAAAAATTAAATAACATCAGAAATGTTATTTACAATAAAATTAATATAAAAAAAATATTTAAAAGCTTTCCCCACCTGGTTTAAGAACATTAAAAAATATGAAAAAATAAAAAATTTCATAATGTAGCCAGCCATCTATTTACATGGTTTTCAGCTTTTCCTTTGCCGACGCATTTAACAAAATATTTTAAAAACATTCATGCTTTATGAAATAGGTCTATTGGCGGTCTTTTATATTAGCAAATTTACTTATAATGTCTTTATAAAATCGGGGACTTTGCAACAGTTCTTTTTCTATCGCCAACTGATAAATTGCTTAAGCACTCTTGTGTCAATGTATTTCTTAAGCAATTCTTAATGCACTTAAGACAAGAAAAGTTTCTCTCTACCCAGAGGCAAACTAGGCAAAATAATTTGTATGTTTCCGAAAACACCATTTTAAATTCCTTGTATAATATTGCTACCCTTTTTGAACTTATGAATTACGAGATTGTTCATTTCTGTACAAAATATTAAGTTCGTTTTTCAACCTATCTGTTTCAAAATGTTTTGGATACATTTGTAATAAACATTCAAACGATTTTTCGTGAAATTTGTTTGCTTATTCAGGAAATTTTGAGGAATCTACTAAAGAAAATTTAAATCGCATAAATTCCCAAAACGAGTACTTAATTGAAGAGAAATGCAAAATATTTCTAATTCTTTGCAAATTTGCCCTGTTTACTTGGTGAGCTGGATTCATTATTACCTAGATATATAATATTGTATTATGTTAAATTTAGTCTAACCTTGTTATGTTGTAAGGAACTTGTTTTTTATTTACTTTAATACCTGCCTTGTTCTTGTCCTTAAAGCTTTTGTACTATCATCACGCACCCACACGTTACACGGGTACCGCAAAGATTGATCAGCGACATCAAAAATGTCATGAAATTTTAAAAAAACTCACCGGCGTAGAAATTCTATTTAAAAAAAGGACTACTCGTCTATCGCGCCACTGCTGGTTGAAGTGAAATATTTGTAAGTACTTTTTAAAGACGTAGGTACCTAATTTGGTTTCCTTAGCACTTTCCACTTTTTACATATGAAAATATTTTGGAAAAAAAAATTAAATCCGTCACCCTGTAACTGGGTTAGGAGTCGATTTAAGACACTTCCTCACATTTTTTTTGTTCAAATTGAACTCCTCTATCAACTGTTAAAGTTAGTACGTTTAAAAATGAAACACCCTGTATCTTTTACAATTTTTATTTGTTTACTTTTTCAGTGCGAGATCTTCGGTTAGGTAAAATTATTTTCATAAAAATAATGGTTCACTAATCCTTTTGGGGCATCGTTTTATTTCCTTAATTTTTTAAATATTTTTCACAGGTGTCAAAATACCCAATGCTCCTTAAATCGCTAAAATAGGATACTTCACATTCTTTCAAAAACATGCACTTTCCTCAATATGTTGGTGACAAAATAAAATCGAATATTCTTGGTAATGTATATAATAAAAATATTATAGGGCATGTAACAGTAAGTATCAATTTTTACCCCCTGTGTACATACAGCAGTCCGAAACACACACTCACTTCCTTGCACCTCGGCACCGCTTGGGTTTTGACAGATGAACCACGAGTTCACACTTACGCTTGGTCTTGAAACCACACCTATCACACGTGTACGTCCGAACCTCTGAATGACCTTTGTGCTTCAGCTGATGTGCCACTAAATTGTTCTTGTACTTGCTCGCATAGCTACACTTTCCACACTGGTACATTTCCTCCTTTGGGGGATTCCTATGCTTCAAGTCATGTAAGTCCAAACTCCGTTTGTATTTAGTTTGGAAAAAGCACACGTCACACTTGTATGCCGGCACCTCCGATGCTTTCCTGTGCGACAGTTGATGGACCGCCAAGTGGCTCTTGTATATCGTTGAGTAACTGCACTCGTCACATGGATAGCGTAAATTCACTATGCCGTGCTTCGACTGGTGACACAGGAACTGCCTCTTGTATACCGTCTCGTAATCACACTTATCACATTTGTACATTTTCACGGTTATGAGTTTTCTGAGTTTTAAGACGTGCTTTATCCTCAAATTTTCCTCGGGATCGAACAGTTTACTTCTGTGACAGTATATGATGTGCTCCTTCAGACCCGCCTTTTTTTTTGTTTCGTGGTCGCAGTACAGGCATTTGTTCATCTGTATCTCGGAGGTACTTTTGTGTATTAGCTGGTGATTTATAAGGCTGCTCTTATATCTCACTTCATAGTCACACTTGTCACATTTGTACAAGGGTACTTCCGATGGCTTCCTGTGCGACAACATGTGTAACTTGAGAAAATTCTTTTTCAATGCTCTGTACTCGCACTCATTACATCCGTAGGGTTTCTCCCCTTTGTGCCTCAGCTGGTGATCGGAGAACTTCGACTTGTTCAACGTCGTGAAGTCGCACGTCTCGCAGGTGAACTTTTTAACAGAAAACGGTTTCTTGAGTTGTAACATACGCTTTATCTTCGTAGCTTCCTTGGGATCGAGCAGTCTTCGTTCGTGGGTTAAGACGTGACGTCTTATGCCCCTCTTAGATTTCGTCTCGTACTGGCAGTAAATGCACTTGAGCATTTGCACTTCGGAACACTTTTTGTGCGTCAATGTGTGTTCTGTAAAGGAGCTTTTGCAATTGGTTTCATAATTGCATGTGTCACATTTGAATGTCACGACTTCCGAGGGATCCTTATGTTTTATCTGGTGGCGCGCGAGGTTACTTTTGTGAATGGTCGTATAATCACATGTGTCACATTTGTGTATCTGCGCTGCGGGAGTCTCACCGTGCACTGACTGGTGAATTGCTAGATAGTTCTTGTTTAATGTTTTGTAGTCACATTTTACACACCTGTGCTCGTTTTTCTTTTGCTTAAGTTTCGTTATACGTGTCCTGGGTGTAGATTTGCTGTGTTTTACTTTGGAAATATCATGTGCTGGAACGGCCATAGGTGCATCACTGAAAATTGTAAGTTTTTTAGCTAATTTTAACAAATAGAAAAGAAATAGTAATCAAATATATTCACAACAAATTCAGGAACAGAAAACATAAATTATATAGATGTAAACAACTACAACCATATTTCAAGGTAGTAGTGTGCAAAATGTTATTGGCAACAGTCGTTCTACTATGATTGTACTAATTTGTGTTATACTGCAATACAACAATTTTGAAAAAAAACCTTCAGTTACCCCTACATCTTAGTACATAGGTGAAACGATTCCAACACGATAATATTGCAATAGATAACCCAAAAGTCTGTGTCAAGTTTCATTTAAATCTGATCGACAATTTTAGAATTATTTAAAAAATGTGTTTCTGCTAGTGCTTCCTCATTACCCCGTTGCTTACTTACTAAGCATTTTCTTCACATGTTAAATATTTATTGCGTGTTTCAAAATCGCAAGTATCACATTTGTACAGCTGCACTTGTGAAGCGTCTCTGTGTGTCCAAAGGCTCCCACTATATTTCTTATGAAAACTGCATTCACTGCATTTGTGTGTTTGCACCAGTGACGGATCCCAATGTCGCAAGGGGTCATCCATAAATTACGTAAGGGTTCAATGGAGGAGGGGGGGGGGCTCAACATTTTCTTATCATTCCTTACTTGGGGGGGAGGAGGGGGAATGAAATTCTTACGTAATAAAATAATCTACATTAATTTTTCTATTTTTCTTAGTATATATGTATTTATAATATAATAAATATATTAATAAATGTTATAATTAGAAGTTGTAAAGCTTTTTTTATAATAAAAAAAAATTAATTGAATCATGAAATGTATTACGTAAGGTGGTGGAGTGGGAAGGGGGGTTATGAAAAATCTTACGGTTTCTTTACATGGGGGGAGGGGGGAGTTGAAAATGTGAAAAAATACCCTTACGTAATTTATGGATAACCCCCAATGGTATATAAGTCTTCCTATCCTTGCTTTCGTATTTGCACTTATCACACTTGTAATTTCTAATTTTGGAAGGATTCTTGCGTTTTGATCGATCTTATTTAGATTTCTGCGCTTTGGAATGGATGGATGGGTCTTAAGACTGTTCTTATATTGTGTCTTAAAATCACACGAATCGCAAGTGTACATCGTCACATACGAAAGGTCCTTATGCTTGGTGTTGCCTTAGAGATTTTTGTTTTTGTTTTTATATTCGCATTTGTCTATCCTCGCTTGCGAATTGTAGCAGTCAACCGATGGCGCTTAAGACAATATTTATGTTTGGTCTCAAAATCGCATTTGCCGCATTTGTGTATATTTATTTCAGATGGGCCTCTATGCACCAACTGGTGCAGTGTAAAAGCGGTCTTATCCCTGCTCCTGTGATTACACTGTCGCACTTGAACTTCCTCCATTTGGAGGGGTTTTGGTGATTCATCAAGTAGCATTTCAAGTTCTTTTTATATTTGGTTTCATAGCCACATATATCGTATTATACATCTGTACTTGTGAACTGCCTGCGTGTGTCAACCGGTGAGGCTTAAGTGTATTTTTATAACGAGCGTTCAAATAAAAACGTGGTCGAAGTTGGCTCTGACACATTGGACGTAGGGAGTAGCTTATAGCGACCAACTTAACCTCATTTCTCAATGAGCTGTATAGCAGCTGTCAGTTTCAATAACGTTAATGACTATATAACTTTATTTTAAAGAATAATCGTGATAACAATAACAAACAATTAAAGGAGCTGCGGAAAGTGTCCCCCTCCTTGTTATAACAATAAATTAAAGCAGCTGCTGAAAGTGTCCCCCTCCTTGTTCCAAGCACTTTTCACACCTGTTCCTCAAAGAATTAAAGACATTTTCTAAGATGCTCGGGGTATTGTTAATTTCACGAATCTTGTCTATAAGTCGAGCCTGCAGATGGTTTAAATCAGGAATAGGCAGTTCAAAAATAGTGTTTTTAAGGTAAGGCCACAAAAAGAAATCACACGGCGTAATATCACATGACCTCGGTGGAAATTCATGTTCAGCATCGAGACTTATTAGTCGATTTTGGAAAACTTCCCTCAACATATTCATCGTCTCGCCTGCCGTATGTGCCCTTGCGCCATCTTGTTGAAAGTAAAAGTTTGTAATTTCGTTTTCTTCCAGCGGTTAACAAAAGGAGCGATAATTTCTTCTCTATACCTTTGCGCAGTAAGAGTACCATTAAAAAAAATAGGTCCATAAATCCTCCTTCGATTGAGAGCACACCAAACTCCAATTTTTTGAGCGTGTAGAGGGCCCTCGACAAAAAAGGTATCTGGTTTTTCAGAAGACCACATCATCATATTCTGTGAGTTTACATAACCACTTAAATGAAACCAGGCTTCATCAGAAAAAAAGGTAATATTATGAAGTTCACCGTAGTTTAAAAACCATTCACAAAATACAGCCCGTCGCGGAAAATCAACTTCATGAAGTTCTTGCTGACAAGTTAAACGATAGGAGAACAAACGCAAATCTTTTTTTAACACTGTGTGGCAGGTACCGACTGATACTCCCACCATTTGTGATAAAACACGTACAGAAGTTCTTGGCGCATTTTCCATTATTTGTTGGACATTTTCTTTTAATTCTTCAGTCCGCTTTTTAGGTCGGCCACTTCCTTCTCTTCTTGTTACACTGCCCGTTTCACGAAATCATTAACACAACGCTGAACTGCACTTTGAAAAATTTTGTACTCAACAACGCCGGGAAATTGATTTTGAAATTCTATGAAACATTCCTCAATAGAATACTTCCATATTCCATCAATCTTGCGTCCATTTCTAAAGTAGGACTCTATGATAAACACTTTTTGTTCTTGAGAAAACACCATTTTAAACGCTTTTTAAAACGAAAATATTCAAATTGATAGCGGCGATATAGCGCTTTGACAGATGACGTTTAAGTTCATTTGCTATACGCTACGCCCTACGTCCAAATTTTCCACGTTTTTATTTGAACGCTCGTTATTTGGTTTGGAAATCACACAAATTGCACTTGTACATTTGGACTACCGTGGGATTCTTGTGTATTAACTGGTGTCGTATGAAGTTACACCTAGATCGATTTTTATTGAGTGTTTCAACTGATGAGGCTTAAAATTGAACTTATATTTAGTTGTGAAATCCCACAAATTGCATTTGTATGTTAGCGTTCTGTATTGGACCTGGTGCATCCAGAGACTGCTCCTATGTTTGGTATTAAAATAACAAATGTTACACTTGTACATTTTCACTCGCATGTGTTTCGATTGGTGGCGCTTGAGAGGGTTCTTGTTGTTTGTCTTGTAGTTATATTTGGTTTAAAAGTCACACAGATGACACTCGTACATTTGTACTTGTGACCGATCTGCATGTTTCAACTAGTGGGCTTTAATATATTCCTTATATTTGCTTCTAAAATTACACAAATCACACTTGCACATCTATACTTCCGAAGAGTTAGCATGTTTCAACGGGTGGGGCTTAAGATTATATTTATTTTTGGCCGCAAAATCATACAAATCACTTGTGTGCATTTGCACTTTTGCATGTATGGTTTCGAAGTCTGCATTTAACCTTGGTAATAAAATCACATGTATCACACATGTACATCTGTACTTCCAAAAGGTCTGCATATTTTAACTGATGAAGCTGGACACTGTTCTTATGCCTGGTCATAAAATCACACGACATTTGTACATTGGCATGCCCGTGAGTTTGTCTATGATTTTATACGTACTTCTATGAAGCTTCTTTAAATGTCTCTTAGAGGCAATCTTATTTTCCGATGGTTAGAAAGATTGTGTTTATATTTTGTCTTAAAATCACACAAATCACACATGTACATCTGTACTTCCAAAAGGTCTGCATATTTTAACTGATGAAGCTTGACACTGTTCGTATGCTTGGTCGTAAAATCACACATATGACATTTGTACATTGACATGCCCGTGAGTTTGTCTATGATTTTATACATACTTCTATGGAGTTTCTTTAAATGTCTCTTAGAAGCAGTCTTATTTTCTTCTGTTTCATAAATTTCCACGTGTTCTATTTCGTTAAATAAAATAGTCGAAGGGGTACCACTAAAAAATAATACGTCTGATAAGTACAAATTTGTACAATAAAATTTCTAATCTAAACAACTTATGGTCCTTTATAAGAGTTATTATTATTTGCTATAACAAAAAATCCTTAAAAATGCATAAAATTTTGTCTCTCCCTATTTTCAAGGGTTGTGAGCACGAATATGAAGTTATTTTTGCGCAGTTAAATATAGTTTTTGAAAAAAAAAGATACTCAAAATTGAAACCTCTATAGTTCACAAGCAATACTCAAATTATCATTATTTAAAACATTATACAGATACATAGAAAAAAGTATATAGTAATAAAAATCTGTACCAAATTTGGAACTGTTATATCGACTGGTTTAGAAGATATTTAAGAAAAACACTTGTCAACAGATTATCTTTTATTTCTTCATAACCGACCTTTGAAACAGCCGGTATTTTTCCTGTTGAAAAATGTTTAGTCCTATTTTTGGTTTTCTATAGGTCCATTCCGAAATATTTTATTTATTAGCTTAAAAAATAATTGAACAGGTTTAAGTCACGTACCTCCCTTTATCGCCATCTGATTTTATAGGAACATTCTCGGTTTTATTCAAGGTCGCTTTATCTTTAAGTTTCGGTGAGACAGGATAAATTTCAAGCAATTGCTCTTCTTGCTCGCTTCCTTCAGATTTTATATCAATCTCCTCAGTTTTTACAACCAAATCTGACGACAAAGTCCAGATCAAATTACCAGAAACTTCTGTTTTATGAGTACTCATAATTCTTTCTTCTACTTCTAGGCAGTTCTTTATGAAGCTACTGTGGGTTCTGAAGGAATCAAAACATTGTCTGCAAATAACGGAATCTTCCACGACACTGAAATTCTACGAAGCGTACGTTTTAGAATTTAAACACGACTTTACAAAATGTGGAGACGTGTTTTTGTATTTCGCTATATACTTACTATTTCTGGAATATACTTCTCGATCATATCAATCTCCATTTTATGTACCGATATAAACTTGCCCTTTATTAGGTGCATACATAACCTACAAACTTTATACTCATCTAATATGGCAGTTAATTGTTCATTTCCTGTTTCCTTAACGTAAATCTTTATTAAGTCGACAGAACATCCTGCTTCATCGTCAACATAAGGAATTATGGTGTTGTCAGTATAGAGACACATCGACTTGAATTTGAATGCCTCCATTACATTCAGTGAACAAACGTTGCACATTACATGCCTGCTTTTTTCTTCAAAATTCTACAAGTTGAATTAACATAAAGACAATACAAATTATATCTTTAAATGTTCAGTGGACATTTAAAACTATATTTAAAAGTTCATGCTGTGGAGAATCTCATCTGGATGATTTAATGTTAAGTACCTATAATGTACAACTTTCAGTTTCTAAATACCAATTTGGTGAGTTAATGATTGATCACTGATTAAAAAATGAAGTTCTTGACATGCAATAAATAAATAATAAATTCTGCAATAAGTTCTTAAATGTACCTCCAAAGATATGTATAAATTAATAAACCTACCAATTTCAGTAAGAGAACGTCTAAAATATCCTTCGTAACAGCTTGTATCTCTTTAAAATGTCCATCTTTTACAACACTTAGACATAATCTGCAATACTCTTCCACAAAATCCTCCATTTTGATAACTTATGTTTGTATAGAATTATAATTTGAGAAGCTTTAAAAAAATGTTTAGTAAATACTTATTTTCTTTTTCCCCATAAAATTCAGAAATCTCACCTTCATTTTGGTTAATATTAATCAAATGTAAATATCTCAGAGTAATAATTTATTAGTCTGAGGTAAATATCATAGATTTGACAGTGTACTATGGAATGGATAATTATGGATGGAATATAGAGAGAGAGACTAGGGGTCACAATATAAAGTGAGATGAAAATAGTATCAGGTCACGTGACTTAGGACATTTGCAGGTTTATCAGGCGCGGTATGTTTATCGACTACGTGTTATTAGGTTCGTATTTTACATATAGGTTTGAAAGTAATTTTTTTAATTGTTGTGCCTCTATCAAAAGAAGTTAATTTCCTAATAAGAAATAGAGGTTATTTTAAATTAATGTCTAGCGATTTTTATCCTAGGTCACGTGATTTGGCAAATCGCTACCACTTTTTAAGTTCATGTTGGAACAGTTACAATGCACAGAAAGTCGGCTTCGGCTCCATCCACAGTATACTGTCAAATCTATGGTAAATACAATCAACATAAACAAACATAAAGATAACATAACCTTACACGACTATCTAGATTAGAGAAATACACGAATTAGAGATGTGTAAAAAGTATTTACCTGATACGTGTTGAGACGTTAAGAGCACGGATAAAATCTAAGAAGAAGTAGAGATCGCTAATTGATATCTCAGGCTGAAGTAGTTGTTTATAATTAAAAACAAAGTAGTTGCAAAAGTAAGAAGAGAAGAAAATAAATGTTAATGTGAAATAAAAAAGGCTTTTATTAAAATATAGTAATAGTAGTAGTAATAGATACTGAGTAGCGAGTCACAACTTGTCAGACATTTTGCATAGCGTAATGTGGAAATTTTTAATTTTATTTTATACCTACCTAAGTAGGTATATGTTCGAAGGATACAAGTAACGAAAGTATCAGTATCTACTTGATAGTACAAGGTATATAACGCGTTACGATACGATAGAAACCAATCAGGTTGCTAGATTTGGGATGGTAACGCGTTGATTCTGAAATCATGAATAAAAGAAAAGAGCTCATAGCATCCTCTTCTTCTTTTTGAAAATAGGTCACCACACGATTGTGTATTAGCTAGACACACACTTTAAGATATCAGTTTCAGTTTTTTCAATGTTCCTCAACTTTATTTCCATTCACATTATTTTCCATAATTAATTATGTTTTACTACCACTAAAATATCTCTTCAAATCACATTCCCTCACTTCCACTAGGCAATGTTGTTTTATTGACCTTCATGGGCGTCCGCAGAAAAATTTCTCAGGGGGGGGGCAATCAAAATTGTGGATGTGTATTTAGGAAAAGTTTAACACATATCTCACGAAATTTTTGACAGGCAATACCTATCTCCTCTCAAAAGCGTTTACGATACTGGAAATGCAATTTGTTGGTTTATACTGCAATCAATCAGTTAATACAATTTTATTTTATCTTTTCACGTGAAATCAACTTCAAAATTTTGAATAGAATAATCCCGTTTAGTATTACATGTTCAAGAGCGTTGTTACAATACAAATTATGATACAAAAATGTAATAAATTTAATTTAATAAACTAAAGTTAAGACAGGAACTATGGTACCTATATTCTTAAATTCTCGTCGTAATTTTAGTTTATTGAATTTAGTTAGTACAATTTAGTTAACAAAATAAATGTCATATAAATTATATTTTTTTAATTGCATTTCCTCATCATATGTCTGAAAATACGAGTAATAGGTACATGATTTTTATTCAATTGATAATATTTTTGCTATTGTCCAAGAAAACCCCTAATCTCATAAATACAAAACTGGAAAGAAAATTTTCAATTCCATTTTCCAAGCATTTTCCAGACCCTGCCTTTCTAAAACTTCTTGGGTAACCCTTTATGTAGGAGATAGATACAAAAAGAGTTATTACTAAAAAAGTGTATGAAACAGGATAACAAAAACTAAAATTACATTGTTTTAAAGCACAAAACTAAATAAATTTAACAATAGTCACACACTAAAACATTTTGTAAATAAATAATAATTATTATTTAAAAAAAACGTAACAAAAATATAAACTAATATTCTACTTATATTCAGTATTATAATGCTGAGTTCACAAATAATGTTTATTATTAAATTAAAATATTATTCTAAAACATTGTTCTAGGATATAAATTATTCAGTAGTATTGCTCACAAAGTCAAAAAATATTTAGAAACGCCCCCCCCCCATATTCACCAGATATTGCTAGAAGATGAAACACAAAGTTGCTAAAAGAGGGTATCGGGATTGGGACCACTGATTTTATAAGCTGTGCTATCAGATGAGTTGAAGCAAGGGCTGATGCTTGCCCTCAAATGAAATGAATTGCTATAGACTCCCTTAGATCTGATAAATTACGCATTTATCATTATTACTTATTACATAACAACATATCTCACTCTATTGCAACAGTTTAAGCAATAAATTGTCTCATTTTGAGACCTTATTCGTTTACTATATATCAATTGATGGGAGTTATATGGGTCTTAAGATTTCCCTTATATTTGGTGAATCACACGTGTACAATTGCACTTCTGAGAGACGTTGGTGGGGCTTAAGATTTTTCTTACATTTGGTCATAAAGTCACACAAATCACACGTGTACAATTACCCTAATGAAGGCTCTGCGTGTTTTACCTGATGAACATCGAGACTTTTCCTGAAGTTGGTTCTAAAATCACACACATTACAAGTGTACACTCGCACTTTTGAAGGATCTGCGTGTTTCAACTGGTGGGCCTTAAGATTATGCTTGTATTGGTCTTAAAAACACAAAAATCACACTTGTACATTTGAAATTCTGAAAAATCGGCATGTTTCAATTGGTGGCGCTTAAGACTGTCCTTATACTTTGTTTCAAAAGTGCACAAATCACACTTGTACAGTTGCACTTCTGAGTATATTATCTGTGTTCTTATACATCACATCTTTGTGTCAAGTGTGACTTAGATGCAACATACGTATGAATTTTTTCAGATTTTTCGGATGGTACGTACTGAGCATTTTTGTCTCAAAATCCTCTCAAATGATCTTGAGATGACCTTGAATGACCTCGAGGATGCATGCAAAGTAAAAATAAACACCGGATTCGGATTCAGCGACCTCAAAAACAAGTCTGTTATCCGTTATATCTTTAAAATGTTCATCGTTTACAACACTGAGGCATAACCTGCAATGTTCTTCCCGAAAATTTTCCATTTTAATGATCTATTTCTGATATTGAATTATAACAAATGGGAATGTTTTGCAAATTTTTCTCACTTTTCAATTTATTTCACATTTCCAACAACCATAAATAAATAACAAAAACATAACGTTAAACTTTATTCAAGTACATAGAATATAAAATTAAAAGAAATTAGAAGATGACTCTTGTATATACCCAATGAACTAATAAAAGAAACTATGCTAATTAGTGTACTATTTAGCAAAGGCCATACATTAACTTGAATTTCTACGTAAACTAATTCAAATATCAAATTAATCCATAAATAATGTATTATACATGGTGATTCACAAACTGTGACCATAATTGAAACTCTTATTTTTTGGTGAATTTTAAGGGGTCTTTCTTATAAAGTTTTTATCTAGGACGCTTCGTTAAAAAGATACAGTGTTAAAGTTAAAAAAATATTTTTAATTTTTTTAATAATTTAAAAACTGATTTAATGAATATTTAATGAAAACGCCAATTAAGGTCAATTTGTGAAACGAGTGCGATTTAAATTAGTTTTTCTTTAATTGAAAAGCGAAAATTTTATACATTATTTTAAAATTACATATTGATTTCACAAAAAAATGTATGTTTTTGGTTTCTTTAGTTTCATTTATCGCATTTGTACCTATTTACTTTTAAAAGGATCTGCATGTCTTAATTGGTGGGCCTTAAGAGTGTTTGGTAGAAAATCACACGACTCGCATGTGTACATCGTCACTTCCGAGCAGCCCTTGTGTACTAATTGGCGGCGTTTTAAAGAGATTTTATTTTTGCCATTGTAATCGCATTTGTATATTCTCACTTGTGGAATGTCTTGGCGGCTCACCAAATGGCATACGTAACGTCTTTTATTTTTCGTCTCACGTGTCTTAACCTGTGACTCCTAAGTCTGTCTTTACATTTGGTTTTAAAATCACACGAATTACACCTGTACGTTCGTACTTTCCCATGTTTCCGCTGATGAAGGCTAAGACTGTTTTTGTATTTGGACTGAAAATTACACAAATCACATTTGTACATCTGTATCTCTGAAGGGTCCGCATGTTTCAACTGATGAAGACTAAGGCTGGTTTTGTATTTGGATTTAAAATTACACAAATCACATTTGTACATTTGTACTTGTGAAGGGTCCGCATGTTTTAATTGATGAAGGTTGAGACTGTTTTTATATTTGGATTTAAAATGACATAAATCACACTTGTACATCCGTACCTCTAAATGGTCCGCGTGTTTCAAGTGGTGCGTCCCAAGGCTGTTCCGATATTTTGTCTTAAAATCACACAAACCACACATAAACACTTCTGAATGTACGTATGTGTTTTTATTCATTTTCATTTTATAGTTATTTAACTGTTCCTGAGATAAACATCCGTTTTCTTTTATCTCAGAAATTTCCTTGTGTTCAAATCCGTCGGATGAAATATCTGAATTTCTGCCACTGAAAAATAGTATATGTCTGATTTGAATTTTGTATAGTAATGGGCCCACCTATCAGTTAACCCTCAAGTTTTAGAACAGAAATATCTATCTTTTTTCCGCAATCATGAAGTAAATAACTAATATTTATGTCACAAGACACGCCAGCAGTGTCGCTTTGCCCAATGAGTTTGGATATTGCAAGCCAAGGTGAAACCAAAGTTAGGTTAGGTAAGGTGATTTTTAATTTTGTATAAGCTAATATCAACTTTAATTTTCCCCAATTGGGAAGTTATGAAGGTTTATCAAATGACGTTTTAAGTACTTTTTATTTTTGGGTTTATAAACACGTTTTAACTGATGGGATTTTAAAATTATTTATTTTTAGTGATAAAATACAAAACGCATGTACCTACATCCATATTTTTGACCCGTGTTGCAACTGGTGAGTTTTAAGATTGTTCTTTATATTTGGTCCTAAGATCACACAAATCACTGGTACTTTCACGCTCTTGAGCATTCCAACTGGTGAAACTGGTGAAAAGACCTTTTCTGAATGTTTTATAATTTAATTTTATAACATTCGTGTATTCACACATCTAAAGAGTCCTGGTGGCATACAAAACCGTTATTGATCTTGGCTTTCTGGAGAGTCTGCATGTCTCAACTGATGGATCCTAAAATTCTTCTCACAATTAGTGTTAAAATCACATAAATCACACTTGTAGATTTGTATTTCTGCATGCGTAAACTGGTGCTTCTTAAGACTGTCCTTATAGTTGGTCGCAAAACCACACAAATCACACATGTACTTTTGTACTCCTGAGTGTATCAGCTCATGACGCTTAAGAACGCCCCTTCTATTGGTCTTATAATCACATGAGTTACATTTGTATGTCCTCACTTTTGAGGGGTCTGCATGCCTGACCTGGTGGACCCTAAAATTGTTTATATATTTCGTTCTAAATTCACAAACATCACACGTGTACATTTGCACTTCTGAAGGATCCGCATGTGCCAACTGATGATCATTTAAACTATTCTTATACATAGTCGTGAAATTACATAAATCACACTTGTACTTTTCCACTCTTGAGTGTTTCAACTGATGACGTTTAAGAACAAACTTTCTGTTGGTCTTATAATCACATGAATTACACTCGTACATATGCACTTCTGAAGGGTCTGCATGTTTCACCTGATGGGCTTTAAAATTGTTTACATATTTAGTTCTGAAATCGCAGACATCACACGTGTACATTTGCACTTCTGTAGAGTCTGCGTGTTTTAACTGATGACTTCTAAGGCTGCGTCTATATTTGGTCATAAAATCACACAAATCACACTTGTACAAGGGCACTTCTGAAGGATCCGCGTGTTTCAACTGGTGGGGTCGAAGTTTGTATTTATTTTTTGTCATAAAATCACATACATCGCACTTGTACATTTGTATTTCTGAAGAGTCTGCGTGTGTTAGCTGGCGAGTTTCAAGGCTTCCCTTATATTTGGTTGTAAAATCACACAAATCACACTCATATGTTCGTACTTCTGAGTCTATGTCTGTATTATAAATCATTTTCATCTGCTCCTTTAAGCATTTCTCTGGTAGGTTTTTTTTTCTTTCAGAAAGTTTCTTGTGTTCAAATCTGTCAATCGAAATATCTGAAGTTCTGCCACTGAAAAATAGTCTGATAAATATAACTGAAATTTTGTATAATAATGGGCCCACCTATAATTTTTTTTAAAGTAATGCTTATTGCCATATGTTACACACCACGTTGTTGCAATAAAGGTTATAAAAATGGAATGTTACAACAGTCCCAAGATCGACATCTGAACATGGATTATCAGTACATTACTAATAATTTAATTCTCAACCAGTGTATAGAAATACTAGCAGATATTTATTTTGTCTTGGTATATCCAGTTGCAAAATATGCACTCTTTGTAGGTATGGCCCAAAAAACGTAATAATCGTTCTCTAAAGATTCGATGCTCATCAAAATAATTAATATTGTTGCCTGTGTTATTCTTCGTTTGATTGTGAGTATCTATTATTTTGTTATTTTGTACTTATGTAGTTTCAAACAATTTTAAAATCTCCTCTTGATTTCATCGAAGCTTGAAATAAGCATCCTTTGTAGCTAAACTTTCCTGTTTCTGTTACGAACTAAACTTAAAAAAACTCTCTGCATCTTTCTTATAAGAATGATATATTTACAAACATTAAAATATTAATTTTATTAACAACATGTACCTCTTTTAAGAAAATGATAACAATTCCTCCTTATTTGCCATTTCTTCTTCAACTTTTTGATGTTAATAACTTACTTCAATAAATTTCATATTAACATTAAAAATAATCATTATTTTGTTAAATAAAGGCCTCGTTTTAGTCCAACGTTCAAACTAGTTATGTACTCAACATTTTTGACACTGTCGTTTCAAAATGTCATTTTTCTAAAGGATTTGTATTATTAATATTTATTAATTCCATTTACAAAGAGGATGCTTGAAAAATACTCCTCAAAATGCAGAAATAGTTAAAATCTACCTATCGCGGTGATATTTATATCGGCTGATTTTTTTAACTTAAAACTTTCAAATATCTTGAAAAGTAAGCAGTCTACAAAAAAATGTCCATAATCAAAATTTATTCTTTCCGTGGAGAAAATACATTAGTCCCTCCTTACCCTTGTAGGTGGGGTAGGGGGTAACTTTGAAATCTTAAATAGGAACATTTATTATTTATTGCAGATTCGGATTCTACAGCTAAAAGTACTTGTCTACTAAAAGGATTTGTCTGAAACAGTTTTTCGATTTATGGTACTGTAATAGACGAAATTCAATTTTTTTCAATTTCTACTACTGAAAACCTTTGCATACAATTTGAAAAATGAAGTACCAATATTACTTGAAGACTTGAACTTTGAAATACGACAGAACATGTGGTTGTCCATCTTGCGCCGAAATTGAAGCAGATACACTTTTCAGTTGTGTGCAGTCATAAGAAATACAGATTAATAGTAGTAGTAGTAGTAAATAGAGTTCAATTGAAGCATTTTAAAGAGTTGATAAGGGATGATGCACCATTAAAATGTGACATAATTTTTTAACCCGTTGGCGGACTTAAAAAATTAATCCTTTATTTTATGAGAAATTTAATTCGAAAACTTTTCTTACCCTTGTTAGTTTTCAAAAGACTTTGTCGTTTTCAACAAAAATACGAATCACTAGTAATACGTATTGTAGCTGTTATTTAAAATAATCGAAAATTCAAGTTTTCTATGAATTTAATGTCAAACTTGACGATCAGGAAAAAGGTAATTTAATTTTAGTAATTGTTTGCCGAGTATTTTGAAAATGTCCAGGAAGTTTTCATTTAGCGAACAAGTTGACATGTTATTAGTGTTAGGTTTCTGATTTCTAAATCGTGTAATCCCCCATAAACATTTTCCAATTTTGAAAGACGGGTTCAAGAAACATGCAAGTTTTCCAGTAACATTCGAGAACGTGCTATTGCAATAAGGGCACATGACGAAGAAATTATTTTGAGTACAATTCAAGATGACCCACATATTAGTACTAGAATTCTATCTCGACAAACTGGTATATCGTAAACTTCTGTGCACCGAGTGATCAGATGTTATCTACTACATCCAAATCATATACAAAAAGTGCAAGAATTGTTACTGAATGATTTGCTTAAACGAGTGAATTTTTTAAATTTATTTTTGAAAATAGTTGTGCCACAAGAAAGAGTAAAGCAATCAACCGACTCTCCTCTGTTAAATGTAAATGCTATTTAGAGAATTAAAATGGTTTTGTGACTTGCGATATTCCAAAAATTAGTTATCACAATTTTTTTTCCCATACGAATATTTTTTATTCTACTTTTGGTTCTCTATATTTGCATAGGCAGACCCATTAGTCCATACTTTATTTAAGTTAAAACTGCCACAAATGAACAGCTTTGATTGACTCACCTCTCTGTATCTTCCAATTTTATATCTTTATACTCCATTTCATTTGATGTTTCTTTACCTTCCAATTCTGGCACAACAGAATAAATTTCAAGCAATTCTTGTTCACGTTCACTTATTTCAGATTTTATATCAATCTCCTCAGTTTTCACATACGTATCTAATTTTGATGTCAAGGCTCGATTGCCAGGGTCTTCTGTGTTATGGGAACCTTTAATTTTTTCCTGAACTTCTAAGCAACTCTTTATGAAACTGCTGTGAACACCAAAGGAATAAAAACATTGTCTACAAATAATGGGATCTTCGATAACACTGAAATTCTACAAAGGGCACCCTTTAGAATTCAATACCTTTAACAGGACAATAGTGATGGTTTTTTGTGTGTGTACTTACTATTTCTGGAATATACTTGTCAATCACATCAGTCTGAAGTTCATGTACGGATACAAATCGGCCCATTATTAGCTGCATACATAACCTGCAAACTTTATGATCTCCCAATGAGTCAGTTAATTTTTTGTTTCCCGATTCCTTTGCATAAATCTCTCTTAAGTCAACAGAACATCCTGTTTGATCACTGACGTAAGGAACTAGGGTATTATTGGTATAGAGACACATTGACTTAAATTTAAATGCTTCCGTTATCTTTGTTGAACAAACATTACATATTATGTGGTCATTTCCTTCATCAAAATTCTGAAAGTTGAATTAACCATTTAAGAGGAACATAAATTAACCTTGTTCAGTCAGCACTTTTATATTATAATAAAAAATCAAAAGCAATGGGCAATTGGGAAGTATTGACGAGTTGTTGCCAGTTACATATAAAGTTTTAAATACAAAATTGCTGAATGAACCAGCTACTGATCGCTCTCTATTTACTTGTTAAGTAATATAAGTATATAAATTACCTACCAACTTTAGTAGAAGAGCATCAAAAATATCCTTCGTAATGTTTTTTATCTTTTCAAAATGTCCATCGCTTACGACATTAAGGCATAACCTGCAATGCTCCTCCTCAAAATTTTCCATTTGAATGATTTATTTCTGATATTAAATTATAACACAAATTTTTAAAGGAAAATTCTTCCAAATATATTTCGAGAACATAACCTTTCATTCGTACATAACATAGATCTAAATCATTGCTTTGACAGTCTCATAGACCTAATACGCGCCATTATTCCATGGATAGAAATTGGCCTAAATGATTCGGGATCGAGGGGGATTATTCCTCTTTATCCTGCCTCATCTCGTGTAGGCCTGGACAGCCTTCGTAGGTGGGCCCCATCCGTCGTCTACCCCGACCGCAAATGCGACCGATGTAGACGCTTTGTGGGACCTCCTTTTGTCCTGGCTGGGCCCCGCCGGCTAGGGCCCTTTCTTCTGGCGCTCTTCTTGCTTCGCCGGCTTGTCTGTG